TCATGTGTTAATGTAATTCGGGCTATATCTCAGCTATAGCTCAAGGCGCAATGCAACTGATTTCGTGCAGATGGGTCACATATTTGCTATTGTTTTATACTCAAATGATATTTTGTGGGATTTTCTTAAAATCTGTCTGGTCCACTGACTGCTCAGGTTTCTCATCACACTTCTTTATAGGATGCACAGTCTTGCATTCCAGCCATCGATGGCTGACTTTTCACTCCACTAGGCTTCCAGTGTGGCTCTTCACAACAAATATCAGCACCTTTGTTTCCCAGTGCGTTGGGACATGTCATATGAATGAATTCTGACTGAGCCTAATTTCATTCTAACATGGACACTGATTCTATAGACTGATAATGGCCAGCTAACAGAACATTAGTAGATGTTCACTGATTTCAATGAAATGTATCAAATCGTTGACTCTAACTTTGATGCATAAATTCTGTGTGATAAGGATTAAATGAGAGAGTGTGAGACTAAAAACTGAATAACTGTATAAACACCCAGTTTTAATTGTTAATAAAATGAGGGATCAAATGAAATGACCTGGTCACATCATTGCTAATACCCATGTTGCTTTATCAAGACAGGATTGGCATTAATTTTGATATATATTCTGAGCTAGTGTCATCACAAACAAAATTCTTCTCACATCTGTTGTACCAGGCCAGAAGCAGAGAACTCAGACGGATTATTTGGGGGGTAACAGAGAGAACGTGTTGAACCAACCTTTTAATGTAGCACTGTGATGGGAAGGCAGAGCACTTGCCGAAGGAGCGATGAGTTCAGCGTGAGGCGACGAGAGTAGATTATCTGAGGATTCACAGCAGCAAGTCAGTGAGAGATGGATGGATGGCGTGCGAGCTGCATGCGTCTGCAAATGGTGTCTTTACAGTGCAGGGCACCACTTGCAAGGCAGGCCACTGTCAAAGGTCTATTAAGGGAAGATTGAGACCCCAGGTGTATATGTGTGAGTAAGTGTGCGTTTGTGTGTGCGTGTATGTGTTCACATGCTCATTGGTCATGGTCCTATAGTGGAAGATTGAGACCCCATTGCTCCCAGAGCCACTCAACCAACACAACCTGCAGTGGTTTACAATCAGAGCAACACCGTCCATCCATCCCTGCTGACATGGCCACACACACATACAGAGAGAGAGAAAGAGAGAGAGAGAAAGAGAGAGCACAGCTCACTATAGATATGATTAAACAGTTGCCAAGCTGGAACAGCTGTGTGACTATGTCTTGGACACGGTGAGTGTCATGATGTTTGCAGCAAGGGTTTAGAGGCAGATTGAGGTACAGGTTAGATATGCAGGGGGAAGGGTGTGAGGTGGGTGTACGAGGTTGCAGGGTGAGAATCGTGGCAGCACCTTTGACAAGCCCTATTTGTCATCTGCCAGGACGCCGAAATAGCTCTGACTGCAGTACGGATGGATTGTGGGAGAAAAAGTGACTACAAGCCAGGCAACTAATCCTGTACAAACCACCACCCCCACCCATATACTCTTTCTACCTCTTGCTCTTGTGCTGTCTTTCTTTCTTTTCTTTTTTTCACTAGGTCTCTCTTTTATAACCTAACACACACTTTTACCTATAGAACAATCAGTGTAGTTGAAAACAGTACACATGTTATTATACTGATTTTTTTCGGAAAATTATATATGTGGCAACATTAATGCAAACATGTCCTTGTTAGTTTAAAATAGCCATTGGCCTGGGCTCAAAAATGCCTGTTTATCATATATAGGTCTTATTTTAAAAGTTTTGGCCCACATGTGTGTCTGTTTTGATAATAGTGTACTCACCAATAGCAGACAACATAGTAACTGTGATAAGAGGAAGTCAGATGGGGGAAAGAAACATGAGCAGTAAGATGATCAAAGAGGATTTAAATAAATGTAGAAGATCATGTTCTGTGGACCTGGAGAAGGCCTGCAACTTGTAGGGGATACTGTAGGAATACAGTCTACCAGGGCTGCATCTAGTCCTTGTATAACCATAGCTAGAGATGTTTGTATTCTCAGCACAAAGTCAGAGATGTTTCCGGTGGGTGTTTGACTGCCCCAGGGTAAGAAGGGTGTTTGGTTTGAATACTTTAGAGTCTCGTCTCTGCTTTGTGTTAATGATGTGGCTCTGTTGGCTTCAGCAGACTGTGAATAGCCAAGTACAGTGCTGCCAGGATGAGAGTCGGCACCTCTAAGTCTGGGGCCATGGTTCTCTGCTGCCCAAAGCAAAGGAATTTTAAGTGTCTTGGGATCTTGTTCACACCTGATTGTAAAATGGAGCGTGAGATGGACAGATGGGTTGGTGCAGTGTGAACAGTAATGTGGAAATTGTACTGGGCCATCCTGATGAAGAGGGAGCTAAGTCTGAAGGCAGACCTCCTGATCTAAATTCCAACCCTCACTTATGGTCAGAAGATCCAAGTAGTGACCAAAAGATTGAGATGGTTGATACAAGTGACCAAAATGGGTTTCCTTTGTAGGGTGACTGGCCTCAGCTTTAGAAATAGGCTGAGGATAGATTGCTGGCCCACCCAAGGACAAGCAGATTAGGATGGATGGATGGATGGATGGATGGATGGATTTTTAAGAATTCACATTACTCTTTTTAGCCATTGTATGACATGCCACCATGCTAATGTTAACTGTTTTACCGGTCTATTACAAAAGATAATAAATACATAAATAATTAATAATAACACTAATAATTAGATATCAAAGGTCTATAATGCAATTAACTATTGAACTGAAATGTGTAGCAATGCTTTCCTGTTACAGTATAACTGAGCACCTGCCTGCATCAGAATAGAAAAGGCAGGGTGTAATGTAGAATTCCAACTTTTGTATAGAACATTTATATCTGTACATGTGATGCACGTGAATCTGCCTGCGTGTACATGTGCAAACCACAGTGTGTGTTTCCGTGTATGTGCGTGTCATAAACATGCAGTTAGTATTTCGGCAACCCCCCCAGCTCTCGGTGATTTGTTGAACAGTAAATGTTTGTCTGAGATGAATTCTCCAGCTGACCAGAGCTGCATCACGGCTGACGAATGAAACCAGTGCCTGGGGGGAGGAAGAATGAGGGGGAGGAGTGGAGAGAGAGAAGGTGGAATGTGCAGAAGTGGAAATCGAATCATTTTATTTTTTGTCACTGCAGCCAGTGTGGTCACGGTTTCTTATTGGACGCTAATTAAAACGGCAACAATCCTGACAATTGCCAATTAAAGACTTGTGAAAGAGGTGATAGGAAATGAGCTCCTCAGCGGGTACATAAACTCATTTGTTATCCCTTTTTCACACCTCTCTTCACTCTATCTTTTCTTTACTCATTAGGAAGACAGAGTGCCATCACTGACCACCCCAGTGAATGATTTGTAGACAGGGGTAGAAGTAGTGCAGATAACGGCATTTTTTAGTGGTACAATAATGTGAATGAATACATTTTGCGACTGATTCATCTTCCATTGAATCTCACTTTTCAGCCCATAGTTGTGGGTGGTTTGTATCTTTTCATGAAGTACGATGCAGCTTCCAGGAAATTAATTGTTGAAAGCCTTTTTACAAATGCAATTTTCCATAAAGGGTTGAATTCTTTCCTGTGAAAGCTTCTCCATGAAGTCTATTTTTAGTTTACTACAACTTGGATCCTTGTTTCTCTTGGTTGTAATTACATTGTGCACATCAAGCAAATAGCTGAGATGTGTGAGCGTGGTCAAAAAACACGAGTAAAACCCAAGGTTAGCCAAACTTAATTCAGTTAGAAGAGACTTTGTTGAAAGAACACATTAAGGAGTTATTAAAAATGAATTTGTTTGATTTAGTGTTCACAAAAAGAACAGCTAAAGAGATATGTGAGGAGAGTCTGGTGATTAGACCCCATTGTTAAGTCATCATTTTACACAGCCAGTGACAGTGCTGGACTCTAGTGATGAAAATGTGAAAAACGGGCCTATGTAGACGGTTGAGTTTTGGCGGGGTAGGAATGATTTACATCATTCTGACCCTAGTGTGCAGCAGAGACAGTAACAATTCAAAGTTAGATAAGATAATTAGCTCAAAGAGATCATTCTGATTGACTGAAATGAAAACCAGTTTACAGACTGCTTCAGTTTGACCTACTGTCCTTACCAGAATTGTGTGTGCAGTGCTCATGGGTAATAATGAACATATCAGGTGCCAACTTTCTGTTTCACCTCTTAATAAAGCAACGCTGCTGTGTTCTGACTGTACAGGTTTTTATACAGGTTTTTATGGGAAAAGATTGTTTCATTGCATGTCTGTCATATACCAAGCGATTACCACCAATTATTGTAGGGGCAGAGGATTAGAGCGAAAAAGAAACATAACTTCTGCAGTTATTCACAGTGACTTTACATTTCAGACTTCACTAGACAGGCTCCTGATCCATGTAGTCTTTGATCTAAACTGATTCGAATAGGAACTTAGACATTCCACAATGCAAATTCTGTTCTTTGTGTAAGTGCGTCAGCCAGCCAGGGCCATCATAAAACAACATGATGGATACGCAGCCAAATAAATAAATAAATAAAAACACTTAGTCCCCTTTTTTTTCTATTCCGATCGCTCTACTGTTATGCCGCTCCTCTGATGGATTTGTAAAATGATATAACGAATGAGACTTAAAGTGAGAGGGAAGGAGGGAGGCTGGGCAGGAGGAATGAAGGCAGCGAGGAAAGAGACAGAGCATATGATTTATTAGACTCATAAAAATTCTGCCTTTGTTATTCCCTCTCATTTTTATACGTGAAGCTTATTAAAGAGCACACCTGCCAGAGTCCTCAGACAAACTTGTGTGTGTGTGCGTGTCTGTGTGTGTATGCAAGGTTTTATGCATTCAAAATAATGTGTAAATGTGCATTTGCTCACAAACACTGACTGGATTTTTAACTGGATGTTTCTGTGTATGGTCAGATTTGCATATGCAGAATTTCTCACTTATCTATTCGTAATCATTACCCTTCCTAGATCCTGCCTCTTCCTCTCATCGTAGTCCTGCCTCCCAACGGGTGTTCAGGACACACTACAAGATGGTGACCCGCCCGGGCTTTAGCACCACGCACGTCCTGCACTATAATCCAGCCCTCTCCTGGCGAACCAAGAGGATCCAGTCTGCCAGGTAACACATTTTAACAAAGACAAATACACACAGACTTCCTGCAGGTCTTGCTTTAATGTGACTCAGTGGCTAATACTCTTGGTGCAGATCATTGCCTTCTCTTTCATGTGTAGCATGAGTGTAAGAAGTCGCAAATGTATTGTGCTCATTTTAACACAGTAGACAACCCAGAGAATAAACCATTTACACCAATGTGCTCCTCACATTAATTTACACAAGCAGGGGAAGCATCAAACCCAGGACAGACACAGAGAGGAAGAGACAGATAGGGGGTTGGGTCTTTTTTTTATGTCATTACAGCCCTGTCTTGTCTTTTTTTTTTTTTTTTTCCACTTTCATTAATCTAACGTTCATCTCCTCTGTCTCAGCATGCATCCTTCTGTCATTCCCATATTCTCACTCAAGATAATAACCTACCAGCGAGTCTTGACTTTACAGTAAAAACGCTTTAATTGGACTCTTGTTAGTAAATATTTTCATTACTGGTCAAACTCAGTCATTCATTCATTCATTCATTCATTCATTCATTCATTCATTCGTTCATTCGTTCATTCATTCATTCATTCATTTATTGATTTATTTATTTTTGGTCAATCAAAAATGCCATCAAATTGTACAATGTCCGCCACAGTTTCCGGAAGCCCCAAGCGTTGTCCTTACCTTACTTTTTAATTGCTTGTTTTGTTTGAAAAATACTCCAGAATTTAAAGATATTCAATCTTTATTATATTTGAAAAGCTTGAAACATCTTATTATCAGAGCTTCGCTTCAGCTCTGCAAGATCAAATACTGTTGAAAGTATGTTCATGGAGGCTCTGAACAGGTTGTTGTGGTAAGTTTTGATGATCTGTTAATGTGTAGTGAATAGAGTAAACTGTCACTCATACACACTCTATTAATAATACAGATACAAATTCTGAAATTTAAGGGTCTGGGAACAGCAGGCATTGTATTTTTGCTAAATCAAAACATGGCGTGTTTTTCTGCTAATATATACATATTCCTTACTTGATTGTGGATTAGTAATGCCATTAGTTGTGGTTTGTTATTGTAAGTATTTAGATGTTTGACTTTATAATATATTTTTACCCTCTGAACTTAAAGCAGTTTGGCCATGTTTCTCCTGGTCACATTTTTGCTCACAGTGGGCATTTTTTCACTGCAACAGAAAGTCCCGCACCTCAGTGGTTACACTACAACCATAGCTAGAAACAGAGATCATTCAATATTGTCTTTTTTGCAGTATACCAAAGTTATAATGCTCTACAATTTTAAAAGGGAAAAAACATTAAGCCATGCCAGGTTTAATTCTTTTATTATTTATTTTACAAAAATTTTAAAAATGTGGAATCAACATGTCCAACACACCCGTCAAGGGTTCAGAGGGTTAAACATTTGTAATTTGGAAACTTTCGTTATTGAAAATATTATCAATTATTATTTTTTGTGCCCTTGAAAAAGTCCTTTTTATTCTCATTTACAGATCGTAGTCTGTTAGCTGTCTGTTGTGTTTGCTGAAAAAACCATGTTGTTTACACAGACCTGGCTCTGTAACCAAGGCATGTCGGACTGATCCACACAACAGTGTTCCAGTGTGTCCTATACATGTTCATGCTCTTTTCATGTTTGTGCTCCTGCACAGGACATGGGTAAAGGGAGGGGGAGGTGAGATGAGATAAATTAGGCACTTGTAGTGAGACTTGCTAACTGTCTAAATATGCTAACTATCTAGGTCTCTACTGTCTCCAGAATCATGGACTCTGCCTCTAAGTCCCTGCTCTCAAAAAGGCTTATCCTGCTCGGATTCATCAGCTGGCCCAACATCAGTCATGGAAATCATTCCTCCAATTTCTACCCAGTCCCTTCTTATTGGTTTCAAATTGGTGTTGAAGTGTTTACCATCTCTGAACATCTTCCAGCATTATAGTTTCAACATAGTTCTAACTTGTGGGCACGATCAAAACACGTGGTAATTTTGGCCACATTAGATGCGCAACATGCTAACACTAGGGATTTCCCAATTGTTGGGGAATCCACGAAGAAAGTAATCCACTGGGTCTTGGGAGTGCATGAAGACTCTTGTGTTTACTCTTGCAGACAACAACAGAACATTTGGCAAGTCTCCCATGTGGTTGACACATGTTAGCATTCGAAAAAGTGGCAAAACCTCGTCTTTCTTAGAGGCTATGCAAAACTAACCACTGGGCAGGCTTTATGCAAATGTATCACATTCGTGGCAAAGAGAAGCTATTCTGGACTTCAAACAAGGTGTAAAGCATATAACATGTAGTGTTTCTTTTGGAGAGAATAGCTCTTTTTGGTATGGACTGAAGGATTTGCAAGCGCAAAAAAAATCTACAGCAAACTACAAAACACATATCAGCTCTTTTGAAGATGGATTTGTCCAAAATATTTAAAAACCTACTTGGTCTTTAACCCTAGCAGTATAGATAATTTAAGTGCAACAGTTTTTGAGAGATCCACATGTCAAACTTCTGCCTTCAGAAACAATGTTTCTGTTGTTAGGAATCATTCGCAAACATCACTGTAAACAGATTTCATGAAAGTACTTTTTTTCAGAAAGTTATTCCAAATGTGTGTATTTGAAAGAAACTGGATTTTTGTTTATTTGGATAGCGATTTAGAATCCAGTCATTTTGTGTATGTGTTTTTTGTGTGTTAGTGATGGGGGGTTCATTTGTGTAATCCAGATTTGGTGAGACAGAGGGGCCTTGACCGTGGCTGGATTCAGTCTCTGGTGACTTATTACTATTCATTTAGCTGCTGCAGTAAATATTGATTCATCAAGGGATTTTCAATTTGAGCCCTGTGACATCCTGTGAAATATAACCAAGTGTGTAGAAGTGAGGAAAGAGATAGGGAGGGAGGGGGACAGGTTGGGTCCCCAGGGAGAGTCCAGTCCTTCTCCCTTCTCCTTACCCTCTCTCCCACTCATTCCTCATGCTTATCTATGTGTTTAAATTTCAAAGATCACCACTTTTATCAATTTGAAGCTACTGAGTGGAGCATGAGCTCATATTCTCTGCTCTTAACTACTGAATACTGCTCTTCATCTTTGGCCTATCAGACTCACCTATCCCTGTCCTCATATGTTCTCAACTCTTATCTCTGTGCCTGCCCATAGTGGAATCCAGTACATCGTTAAAAACAAAATACCACCCTTGCACTATAGTGCAGACTGTCACTGTTGTCATGTAACCTGTATGGACTTCACATGGTGACATAACACTAATATCTTGTTAAGACATTGCTTTGATGTTTAAATGAGGCTCTTTTGTATTCGTGTTAGGGTTTTGCTGATTTTATTTTATTTTTTTAATTCTTTGAGAAATCTAAACATGTTTTTCTCCCAGTTTTTGTTTTTCATTTAAATAACAAGCCAACGTTTCTAAATCTTAAAACTCAAGCATGCATACAATAATCATTCATTCCTGTAGTTTGGTGAATTTGGTCCATAACAAAGAGAAACACAATACAATGTTGCATTTTAGTTCTGATATCGTTACACTGACTTTTTACTGCCAAACAGGACACACCCTTTGAATATACAGATTTTATGACCATCATTGCCTACATTAGAATTAGATGATTGCTAAGAAGTCATAGTGTTATAGAGTTGTGAGTAGTTCCTTAGGTGTTTTCCCTCAATCTGTGATGCCATTTAATTGCTAAACTCATTCACAACTGACCCAGAATTTAAAAGTGAATTGGTTTAGGTTGCACATTGTGTTTTGAGCTTTCGTTCATGTGACTGAATTTAAAGGCCAGGGATTGGAAGTTTCTTGCCGTAATGCATTTTGGGAGTTAATGTTAATGTCTGCATTGATTTTTGGTTTTTTTAATGTGCTAAGGCTTGTGCATTTGAGTTTTTAGTAGTGAACCTTTTTAGGAATTTAGAAACCAAACACCTTAACCAAACTGACAATCCAGACATCTTGACAAAGTATTTTATGTGCTGTAGAAATGTTGTCATTTAATATGAGATAGTGTTATTGAGTAGCAACTCACTTAGAATTCACTTGAAAGATCGCTTTTTAACACCTGGCCATTTGCATTGGCTGTCACTCTCAATAGCGCCGCAGCTTCTCCTTGTTCTTTTACTGCCCATCATGCCCTACATCAAGTGCCTTTCTATTACAGCAATTTAACTGTTAATTTATTATTTGTTACACTTTTACATTAGACTAACAAACCTGTTCAACCAAACCCTTTAATCCACCTAGTCCTACCAGGAAGTGAGTCTCTCATACCCAGCATGCCATGTTCTTACCTAGTTTTAGCCATAATGAGCAATGGCGGGTGATTTAGTGCTGGGCTTCAGTTTGAAGAGGCGGGGGAATCGGCTGCAGTATTTCAGGCCCTGCCACCAGAAAATAGATATAATCTCAACATTAACTCCATTAATAGTAGCAGGAGTTGAATTAAGAAAGCCGTAAAGCATGCACACTGAGGATAAATTACAGCCCAACCCTCCCTCCATCTCTCTCGTGCCCTCCCTCCCTCCCCTGAACCCGTCTTTAATATTCTATACCTCTATGTTTGCACTGTTGCTGTTCTTTCTTTGGTTTTATGTTATTTGATCAACGTTTGTCTCACTGTTCTCCACCTGCCTCCAACTTTTTATATTTTTTTGGCTTTATTTCTGGCATAAATGTTAAAGCTTCCAACATGATTAGACACCCCAACCCAAATAAGTATTCTTTCATTGAGTGTGCATATATATTTAGATATCTATACACACCCACACACACACACACACACACACACACACACACACACACACTCTCTCTCTCTCTCTCTCACGCTCTCTCTCTTGGTCCAGGCGCTCATCTCCTTTAGTGCTTCAGTATTGATCAGTACAGGATGTAAGAGACTGGGCAATAAAGTGAAGCAGTGCTCCCTCTTCTTCACTTCTCTCCTCTTTTTCCCCGCATTCACTCCCCCATTCATCCCCTTTAATACCCCAATTCATTCATTTACTCAATTCTTATCATATTAGTCATTCACCTGGGTTATGATCCTCTTCTGCTGCTGTTAACACTGTATTCTACACAAATACTGTCCACGTTATTTTTTATGTTTGTTTTCTACTGTAAGATAGGCTTTTTTCATTGCAGTTTTCTTCCTCTAAGTTGGATTTGATAGCATTGTGATGCGTAATGACGCCGCTTTGGTTTCCTTTAAGTGCCTGAGGACGAGCAGCAGAGCAGTCTCACAGTTGGAATTAGCCAGATGACTGTTTTTGCTGCGCTCTGTTTCAAGGGTAACTGTTTCCCAATATGAGTTTGCTAATGCTTGGGTTGCAGACAAATAGACAAGGGCAGCATTATTCTGAGCAGTTGCACGACCCTCCAAATTCTTCCCTGTCACTAAAACAAAAGTCGGATCATTCATCAACGGCACCGGTAGTGCTGAATTGCGCTCTCTCTATCTGTGCATCGCATGGTCAGAGCATTGCACATACACACACCTGCACACACATATACACGCACACATACAAACTAGTCTCAAGGGAGTTTCTTTTTGCCCTTGCTGCGTCCTCTAGGTCTTTCTTTTTCCTCCATATTGTTTACTGTTCTTTTTTGATGACTTAAAGTTCTTTAACTCTGACCTCCAGTGAACATTTTTCTATTTTGTAACATACCTAAAAGAGTGTGCCTCTACAAACTGTACTTTAATGCTGAACCAGTTAAATAATGAGGTGATTGATATACATGTAAGTGACTATAAATACAATTTATCATATAGTTCACTGATTAAGAAAAAATACCTATTGTTCTGCTTCTACTTTCCTTAATTTTCGATTTGATTCCTTTTCCTTTCTCTTTTTGTGTGCACATGGTGTTTCAACTGAGATTGGTCCAATTTTATTTAATAGCCACACCTTTTACATTTTGCAGCACATCTGACTGTGGATTTAAACTGTGTCAGTGGGTTTACAAACTTCCTAGGGTGATAGTCACAGCTTTGATGGTAATGCTCCATTACATATTTTAAATCCCATACACATTAAATATTGAACTTAAACTTCACTTTAAAATGTATAATGCAAATCAGATTGCAAGAATCTCATCTATTCTGTTCTCATTTCTCCAGACAGTGAGGTTAAAGTACTGACATTCAGCTGTTATTTTAGTAGTTAACATCCATACTGAGTGAAAAATGTATGTAAGAATTACAGTTGGAATTACAGCGGGACTTATGGAACTGATAAATACTAAACTATTGACCCAGTATGAAAGTTAAAATCATCTTTCAAATATGAATGGGAACAGCTTTTAAGCTGAAAGTCATCACTGTGATCTTTTCGGTCATAGCTTTTTAAGCACTGTATTTCTTATGTTATGTCAGTTTTTTTGTTTTTTTTTGTTTTTTGTTCTGACCAAATGGGCACAATAATTTTCTTTGGGATTAATAAAGTTTTGTCTTATCTATCTCCCCAGTGCTGTGTCAGTTCTGGTAATAGTCTATCGGAGAAAAAATGTTTTGGTTTATTTGTTTGTTTACACCAATCTCAGTCATCTTGAGCAATGCTAAGGGAAATTGTAAGCCTGTAGCTTTCTCCTCTCCTTTCTTTTTTCCGTGTTCAAAATGTACTTTGCAAAGAAAAACAACATCAATGACAAAAACCTCTGGGCTGCAACCTTCCACCCAAGGATTTGGATAAAGCATCCTTGCTGTTTTTTTTTGTTTGTTTTTTTTTGTTAGATTATCCATTTTAACCACAGTAGTTGTCTTCTTGCATGCACATATTCTACCACAACAATTTTGTGTGCCACTATGTTGAGGAAACACCAAAACCACATCATTCACTTAGTTCTACCAAAGATGACTGTGATTGGTTTAAAGAAATGCAAACAAGCCAGAGCCAATAGCAGAACATTAGTGAAGTGTAGTCTAGCCATTGTGTACTGCAAAATGGACTGGCTAAGCAACACTTATTATTGCAGTATTGACCTGTTGGCTATTGGGCAGATAAGGTGGGCTGTCAAACCTTGTTTTTGTCAAACCCCTTTGATGAACTACAAGACTGAACATACAGTAAATTTACCTCGCACTAAACCAATGTGTTGTTGCTGTAAGTTACATGATGTAATTTTATCCAATGCAAATAAAGAAAATATTGATTGGTGCAGCTTTAGAAAGTTTGGAAGTCTGGGTGCTGATATGAAAGTGCCGCTTAGGTGTTGTACCAGGAATGTATGTAATAGTGTATCTGTGTAGTATGCAACACTGAAAGGCCTTCCAGACTACTTGACTGTCCAGCAGCAGACCAGCCAGGAGCGTTTCTGATAACAAATATCTCTATGGAGGTCAAGGGCATCAGGTCACCCTATGGCTGGGGTCGAACAGAAAAACACACATATTTGTTTGTGGATAATGTCATTATTTATGGGATGTTTCATCTCTTGTGCTGCTTGGACTGTTTGATTTTTTTCTCCCTTCCTCCTCACTTCTTTCATTATGGGAAGATTACCTCTTTGTGTTGCTCATCTGCCTCTGCAGAGGTTTTCACAAATGGTGTTCGGCCTGAAGGTAGAATTTATTCACATAGCTGTATGTACGGTTGCACAGAAATCCAACATCTTAGTTTATGCACAAATGAGTCTTCCAGGAACATCAATGAAACAATAAAAAGTCACTTATATGGTCACAGCCGTTTAAGATCTATGCATATGTCTACATGTTATCAGTATTTTAACACAGGCTGTTTGTTATGAATCTGTTATCAATTTGGTGAAAATAGTACATACTTGTTGTTTGTCTGGATTATTGAACATGAGTGTTGTTCAGAAACATTCACATGGCTGTTTTCTTTTATGCTTGTATATTAATGTGTGGTGGTCCGCTCCAGTGTTCCATTTTTAACCCCTCCTCTAAAGATTACCTGATCAAGCTGTTTGACTTGCATCACTTTGCTTAGATTTATTAGGTGTATACTTCTCTGGGTGCCTCTGTGGCACTCTTTTTCTCAAAGTGCATCAAAAATGTTTACATTCAGAGAAATCTAATTCATTGCAAGCAGTCAAATGATAACATAAACTGTCCCATCATCCTTTCTGGACAACAATAATGAACAACAGCATTTTGATAAGAAGAGCATGTAAACATATTACAGATAGAAGCAGTAATGAACACTTGTTCGTTGCTGCTTCAATCAAGAGTCTGAGATCAGTAGGACAATCACTCTGCGGTACGGACTCAAACATATGAACCCAGTGAGAAAACATGCTAACAGACTGGGTGTTACACCCTTGGTCACCCCCTGACTGCAGCCCTGTATCAGGGTTAACTGCCATCTGTGTTAACTGTTCATGTCATATCCCCATTAACCTCCATTGTGGCTCCCCAGGCCACCCGGTCCTTGTTTAAGCCTCCCTAGGTGGCAGTCAGCGCTCCAACATTAGCCTCCATTACAGCTCCCCTGGCTGCAGTTGCCCTATGTAGGGCAGCCACTGATCTTGTATCTGTGAAACTCAGTGTCTGTGCTGCTGAGTTATGGCACAAAGTCAGGTACACTGCATATGTGAACGCAACTGAAGGCTGATATTTGGTCCGTTTTTTTCTTATTTGCAGCAGTGCAGCAGCTCTCCACGTGTTAGGCGTCTGTGTCAGTTGTTTTGCGCGCGGGATGCGTTCGGGGTAACCCTCTCTCTTCTCTGTAATGGGAGGCATGAACTCTCGCTCTAAACCCATTTCCAGCCCATCTGAAATACGGCAGCAAATTACCTCCAGCGGCGCCCTGCACACCAGCCCCAATCCACCCCAAATAGAAGTGACAGGACAGCGCAATTTATCGCCATAACCCCTGCACCGCCCCACCACCACCCAGCAGCCCCATTCACACTGCAGGCTCGCATGTACAGCTGCTGCACACGTACACAAGCCTACTGAGTGAGTCCTGAATGGTGAGCGTGTGTGTAAAGGCCTGTGATTGTGTGTACTGTACATACTGTAGTAGGAGTGTGCTCTACTAAAGTGTGTGCGTGCGCGTGCGCGTGTAGGTGTGTATGGTTGTGTAGGTGTGTATGTGTGTGTGTGTGTGTGTGTGTGGTCTCCACACTCCAGTGTAGGGGCCAACCTTACTGCTCTGGCCCCCTGCCCTGCCTATTATCTCATTGATTTCCTCCTCTCCTCTTTTCAATTCTCTCCATTTCCACACTGCCGTCCTTTCCATTAGAGGAGCAATTTAACAGAGTGCTGTGACATGGGAGGGAGAGAGAGAGAGAGAAAGGGGGAGGGAGGGGAAAAACTACAGGATGGGAAACATAAAGTGAAGAAGGGATATATAGTGGAAGAGCTGGAGGGAAGATGAGCTGAAGAGGGGTGAAACTGAGAGAGGGATGAGCGGATAATATTCTAGTTAAGGGCAAAACATGACTGAAAATTTCACACAGTTTGTAAACTGAGCTAAACTGACAATTCTATTCTTCAGTCCAAAGGCAATAAAGCAAAATTAGTAAAAATTTGACTTCAAGTTGATATATATATATAGGTCAATGAAATATTCTTTTTCAATCCCTGTTCCTCTTAGGAATTTCCTTCAGAGCCGACTTCGACCTCCCCATGACAGACACCCGTCATCCATCCAGCAGTGGAGAGGAAGCAGCATGTGCTGGATTCGGGGTTCCTTGTATCGTGTGTCGGCCAATAAGCTGTCCCGCACCGCGACAGCTAGCATGTCGATCAACCGAACAGGTACACATGTTGTAGAGTTTTATCGTTACTTGGTTCCATCAGAATAATTGACAGAGGGCTGATAATTCACACAACTGAAGTCACTGATTTAAAATATTCCTAAAATTGTAACCTTTATTTTTTTCCCCATGAGTACTGATCAAGAGAAAAAGGAGTTGAGGAGTTTATGCGTCAAGTTTGAATATTTTGAATATATTATAAATATATTAATTTGCACACCTGAATAGTTTTAAAATTTTAATTTTCCTTTGGAAAATGTTCAGTACAAAACAAAATGCAAATGTCAACATGTAATAGTTCTTGTTGCTTTTGAGGGCTTTCTGGGAAAAACTTGTACATGTTCATACTGTCTATTGTCAACAGAAAAATTAAGACTAAACTTGATGTACTTTTTTTACTTAAGCATTTTTAGATTAATATGACTAGACCTTGGTGATTTAGCTGAAAAATGTATCATTTTAGTCATTGATAATTTTATCATGTTTAATTGCCCATTTTTCATAAAGACTAGCAAGAAATGGTTTAATTTGAACTTAACCAATATACTTTAATTTGAACCACTTTACCTTATTTAGTAATGTACACAACTAACAGTTTTAATGTTAATACTACATGAAAAACACAAATACATTTACACATATAGATGTAAATAAATATGGATAAAGGAATCATTTTCCTTTGATACACATTTTTTTTAAAAAGACTGCAAGTAAAACCCAGAGGTGCGCAGAGGGCAACTAGGGTAGAGCTACCACAACATACTGAGGCTTCTCCTAGTTATCCGACTGGACCAGGTTCACCGGCTGAGAACCTCACACTGGCCTACCCTGTAGTCATGTTCGTCAGTCCTTGTAGCAGACCACCAGGTGGGGAACATGGGGTAACAGGTATTTTTAGACCACAAACCCCATCCCACAAGGGCATCCAACTACCTACCGGCCGTACAGAAGCCACAGGGAGAGCAATGGAGGTTGAAGAGGCTCTATTATCAGGGGATATGATGGTCTGTTAGGAGCCAGGGAGGGAGCACACCTGGGATTTGTTCATGTAACCAAACTTTGCGATTTAATTACATGCTTTCACGGTGGTTTGCAAGTAAAAAATAAACGGATGACATCACAAGTAATTATCGCTGTCATGTTATGGCCTTTGCCTAAATGTAACTAACTAGATAAAATTATAACAGTTCTCTCTTATTTTTTTCTTTACTTACAATTCATAATCACATGCCCAATGAGTTCAAGTTGTCATTCTGATAAAAGCAGATCAGATTAAAGAGCGAGAGATTATGAGGGTTCAACACACAAGTACAGTTTGTACAAGACGATGGTAGGGTATCATTTTAAATCTTTTGATACTCAAGTCAATATCATGCCACCATTACCAAAAGCAATATTTTTTCCAATATGACTGAGAAGCACAAACTTGTTTTTCCACTCAAGCTTAATTTAGGCACCAACTTTTTAGTGAATGGATGTTGTCCACTCACAAGCAACTGCACAAGAACCATAAATCTAATTCCAGAATTTCCATGATTAAATACAATTTTAAAGATCTAAATCAGGAACAATTTGAGTGAAGAACAATGAAACAAAAGCATAAATCTGACTATTCATTTCATGCTAGCATTTGTTACTTAATAACTTTTGGTAGTCTGTTCTTAGACACATTTCAGTTCATATTGAAAGTATACAGAGGTTCAGTAACCAGTCCTGTTGAGGACATAGAGTGCGAGCATAGGCCAGTAAGCCTGTGTACACACTGAGGTGACACAGGAGTGTTTATTCATGTTTGTGACTGTAGCTCTGTCCACATGGCCTCTAATAGACTTAAGGGAGCTAGCTGGATTTGCCATCTGAAATAATAAAGTTGTCATCTGTCAGAGCGGCGAGGGGGAGGGCCTGGAGAACTGGATGGTGCAGATTAAAGCCCAGATCTGCCTCTGCACCTTCAGGCTTCTCTACCTCTCTTTTAGACATTCTGGTGCAACTAAACCTGCAGGTCAAATTGAAGAGCTCCATTCTGTTAAACTCGTGACCAGCATTGCAGCACACTCGCACACGTTCTCTCATCCTCTAGGTACACTCCTCAAGTGTCTTCCCAACAGGAGTTGTGATATCACATCATCCTGTGGCAAGCTTCACATTTGTTGTTGGTACTGAGCCACCAGAGTGTAATCCTGCTCTGCTTAAATCATGCCAGAGCACACACTTGATGAGAGCCTTAACAGCCAAAAACGTTCCAAAATTAGAGGTCTGAATTAGATCAACTGCCATCTGTAACCATAACCTCCTCGTCTCCTTGTCCTCTTGTCCACTCCACTCATAGCCTCGAACAACCCTCCACACGCACGCACACACACACACACACTTTTTCTTCCAGTGTTTGTGGAGTGCATTGGCACATAGTGTTTATGATGTTCTCAGACAGAGCTGGACGTCACGTTTGGCTTTGGCACCAATGCGTCAAACCACCACAGTATAAATAACCAGTCACATATCAAGTTGTTATTGCATCTGGCTGCACAAACCCACTATCAGACAGCTTCAGGTCTGTCATATAAGATGTGAATAGTAGTTTTAAAAATGTTTCAATTTACAGTAGATTAGATTTCTTACTTCAAACAACCCCAATATGAGTCGCCACATAGATAAAGCAAAACAGAAGAAACTCTTGACTCTTCTTTTGAATATGTAACCATGTGTTTGTCACCATGCAAAACTAATATAACACAGTTAAGCTGTAAATGTTTGAAAAATCTTCCAATTCTGTGGTCCTCTGTGGTCATATGTTGGGTTCTCATACTCGTGCTTTCCTAAAGAGGGGTGTACCCTCATAGAGGAATACATTTAATGGACATTGTGTGGGTAAATTCAGTTCACTAAAACAATGTTGATATGAGTAATTATCAATGTATGAAAATGTGTAGAAATTCAGTTCAAACAAGCCCTCCACACATCTGTCATGCTCTCCACCAAAGCCAATTGTGACCTCCTTGTGTGAAAGCAACAAAACAAACCCGAAGTTTGTTTAATTTTATGTTGCTGCTATAATGGTTTGGTACTTATAAGCTGTTGTTTCAAGGGGGTGACTTTGCTGAATTCGAGAATTTGGATGATGGGACAAAAACAATAAACAAATAAAATTAAATTAATAGTCAGTGAATAATTAGTTGACTGAATTAATCTCTCCCACCTTTTCTGCAGACTTAGTACACTGCTCAAATAGATAAAGGGAACACCTAAACAACACAATGTAACTCCAAGTCAGTCACACTTCTGTGAAATCAACCTGTCCAGTTAGGAAGCAACACTGATTGTGAATCAATTTCACCTGCTGTTGTGCAAATGGAACAGACAACAGGTGGATATGAGAGGCAATTAGCAAGACAACCTCTATAAAGGAGTGGTTCTGCAGGTGGTGACCACAGACCATTTCTCTGTTTTCATCCTTTCTGGCTGATGTTTTGGTCACTTCTACATTTAGTCAGTGCTCTCAGCCCTAGAGGTAGCATGAGGTGGTGTCTACAACCCACAGAAGTTGCTCAGGTAGTGCAGCTCATCCAGGATGGCACATCAATGCAAGCTGTGGCAAGAAGGCTTGCTGTGTCTCTCAGAACAGTGTCCAGAGCATGAAAGAGATACCAGGAGACAGGCCAGTACACCAGGAGACGTGGAGGGGGCCGTAGGAGGGCAACAACCCATCAGCAGGACGTTACCTCCTCCTTTGTGCAAGGAGGACCAGGAGGAGCACTGCCAGAACCCTGCAAAATGGCCTCCAGCAGGCCACTAATATGCATGTTTCTGCTCAAACTGTCAGATACAGACTCTATGAGGGTGGTATGAGGGCCAACATCCACAAGTGGGCCTTGTGCTTACAGCCCAACACCGTGCAGGGAGATTGACATTTGCCAGAGAACACCAAGATTGGCAGATTGGCCATTGGCGCCCTGTGCTCTTCACGGATGAGAGCAGGTTCACACTGAGCACGTGAGAGAACGTTCTGCTGCTGTGGAGAACATCCTCCAGCATGACCGGTTTGGCGGTGGGTCAGTAATAGTGTGGGGAGGCATTTCTTTGGAGGGCCGCACAGCCCTCCATGTGCTAGCCAGAGGTACCCTGACTGCCGTTAGCTAGCGGGATGAGATCCTCAGACCCATTGTGAGACCATATGCTGGTGCAGTGGGCTTTGGGTTCCTTCTGATGCATGACAATGCTAGGCCTCATGTGGCTGAAGTGTGTCAGCAGGTCATGCATGATGAAGGCATTGATGCTATGGACTGGCCTGCCCGTTCCCCAGACCTGAATCCAATTAAGCACATCTGGGACATCATGTCTCGTTCCATCCACCAACGCCACGTTGCACCACAGACTGTCCAGGAGTTGACTGATGCTTTAATCCAGGTCTGGGAGGAGATCCCTCAGGAGAACATCCGCTGCCTCATCAGGAGCATGCCCAGGCGTTGTAGAGAGGTCATACAGACATGTAGAGGCTACACACACGACTGAGCCTCATTTTGACTTGTCTTGAGGAATTTCTACTTAAGTTGGATCAGCCGGTAATGTGATTTTCCACCTTTATTTTGAGTATGATTCCAAATCCAGACCATGGGATAATAATTTGGATTTGCATTGATCATTTTTATGTTATTTTGTTGTCAATGCATTCCACTATATAATGAATAAAGTTTTTTAACTGCAATAGTTCATTCATTGAGATCTAGGATGTGTTTTTTTAGTGTTCCCTTTATTTTTTTGAGCAGTGTATGTAGATTGTTGTCTAAGTAAGCTGAACGCAGGCTACCTTTCAGTTGCTGTTCTCTTGCTTCTTCTACATTTAGGACAGTTCTCCAGCACCCATGGCTCACACGTGATTCCTGCCTTGACACGGCCCTTCAGCCCTCGTCACTTAGCCAGGTAACACTTATACACAAATATACATGGATTTGTATGCAAAAAGTGGAAAAAGTCCTCCAAACTTTTGAATTACTACCTACAGTATATGTGAGCTGTCCTGCATCTCTTCGTACATACAGCACCAACATGAAATTGAATCCAGTCCTGACTTCTGCATTTGATCCTCCTCTCTCTCTCCTCCAATATTAACTGCCTTTCATCACTGTCAGCTAAGGACTGTAAAGCCAGAAGTAATCTTTTAAAATTAAAATTAGTACATGGTGTACTTTTACCTGGAAACCATCACAGTAATGAAAGGGTACACTTTAATCCTAGCATAGTTTGTCCTCTTTAGTTACCACTGGCTTATTATTGATTGTGGATACTTGTGGTTTGTCTTTGTTTCTTGAATCCAGTCGTGCAGTCCAACGGAGTCTTGCCATCATTAGACATGCTCGTCAGAAGAAGCAGCAAAAGCAGTACTGCATGTACTATAACCGCTTCGGCAAATGTAACCGAGGGACAAGCTGTCCCTACATACACGACCCAGACAAGGTGGCCGTCTGCACCAGGTAAGAGAAATACACAAGATCATCCCATTTTGTCAAATCAGAACGGAATCATACTGATGAGCAGCAGAAAGGAAGTTGGCTATTTTTCTTTGATGCGCAATCCTCAGTATTGAGAGGAAACGTTATCTCTTTGCAATGTGCCCAGGATGCATCTGATAGTAGTGAAGTAGCAATTTTTTTTTTTCAGGAATCCACAGTTCCAGGTGTTAAAGTCCTTTTTGTGTTCTGCATAGATTGTCCGTCTACATCCAAACAGGGTTTCAAATCCAGTTGAGTACATTGCTAATGCCACATTTAGGCCAAAGATTAGACTTTGTGGCAATCAAGTGAAACAGTAGTAAAAATGACTACCCTGTCACTTTGTGGGATGGCTTTAGCTACACTGAGCTGCCAAGAAAGTTTTTTTGGTTCCTGTTACAAAAGCAAATCATTCAAATGGGGCATAGTTTGATCAGCATTTCTAATTAAAAATACACTTTCTTGAAAAAAAGAGTAGGAATAGCTATATCAAGATCCAGAGGACAAACAAGAAAGATATTATTTACAGAAGAACTTTATAGAGGGGAAAAACATTTGGACAACCGCTGACTCCCGATATTTCACACTGCCTTGAGCATTTGTCATTTCAGGATTGTTTTTGTTTCTTATCTGCAGATTTTTGAGAGGGACGTGCAAGCAGGCAGATGGCGTCTGCCCATTCTCCCATAAGGTCGCGAAGGAGAAGGTAACATATACGCACACTCACAGCCTAGATGTTGAACAACATAGTGTTTTATGGGTTTTCATTGCAAAGGCCAAAGTTGGATACAGTGTGTAGGTATAAGATGGCATGCTATTGGGTACAGTCACTGTAGGATCATGTTCGCGTTCTTGGCATGTCTCCTGTTTCCATGGTACAGGATGGTATGAGGAAGACTTAACCTGATGGGGGATTCAGGGAGGGGCTAACGGATAAACGAGCAGCCTAAATGTTAGACTTGTGCCTGAGGGTCACCCAATCTACAGACCTACCTTTCAATGACTCTCGTAGCTGTGTATACTGCCGGGGAAAGAACCGTTACTGGGATTCATCTGTTTTTTGAAATGTTGGAGTGTAGCACAGGTTTCTTGCATATACAGCAACATCGAATACAATATTTGCCACAGACCTGACATCACGCACATTTTCCTCCTCTGAAGCAGGGTGCAAAACTATTTGTTATTGTGGCTTTAATCACAATTTTATCACCCTATTAACTTTTTCTTCAAATATTTTTTTTTGCTTCAGTTTTATAATGAGTTATTACACAGCCCAAATGCAGCTCGAAGCTAGACAAACAAAGGTCAATCTTCTTGTCAGTGATCCTCTTCTTAGACTCTTTCCAATTGTAGCAAATTGTCCCTGCATGTAACCTAAAAACAACTGGTCTTACAAATTTGAATTGATTGCGAGAGTGAGGGCTCAGGTTAGGTGAAACAGTTTCTCAATTAACAGAGCAGTCTTGAATGGTATGAATTTATGTCACCTGGAAGCTGTATCTACGAGTGAGCAAAGCCTTGCTGATGTGTGTGAATTTAAGTGTTTTTGGTGTTTCAGAGTAAAGTGTTTCACTCAGAAAGCGAAAGTTGCCTTTTTAGCTTTTCATTCTTTGGGACAAACGACTCTGCAACAGGTGCACTACTGCCTCACCCTCCACACACACACACACACACACACACGCACACAATGCCCAGCACCTGTGTTGTTTGTCACACTGCTGCCTGTAAGTGCTGAGAGCCCAGCTGTCTGTTTGTAATGCCACCTCTCCAACAGCTACCCCGAGCCCCCAAACCTTTGGCCCCTCCCTCCACAGGATACTCTCACTCTTGTTTCATGCAGACCCCTTAATCAGGACTGTATGCAGGGGGGGGAGAGCACCCAGCACCCAGCACCCCTCCAAACTTGATCCAGGCTCTAGTGTGGATAGATAAGCCTGATTCCTGAATCCTGCACCCAACCCTCTTGCCCCCCCATAACCACAAATACCTTGAAACCAGACTCCCATGAGCCAACTCCCCTGGCATTACACTCCCACCTCCCACACTTGGGAACACCACCCGCGCTCCACCCCCCAGCCTACGCAGTGCACACATCCAGAGCACATAAACACATCATGAGAGCTGGACGAGCTGCAGCCTGGATAAATATTTCTGTAGCAGTTAATTAGGTAGAACTGATCCCATCTCAACGAGGTAGAGTCCCTCTTACACTCTGCCTCACTCGACCTCCCCCCTTCGACCAACCAAACTCTCTCAGATATATTTAGACCGGCCTCCACCAGGCTTGCCCCACACACCAAACAGTAGATCTGTCTGCACACACACCTGCACACATGCTGTCAAGACACACATTCACTCTCACTCTGCCGCTGTCAACTGCAATTAAGGTCATTTAGCTGCTCAGTGTGACAGATTGCTTGGCACACAGGACATGTCTGAACTGTACAGGACGGTGGTGTGGTTTTAGAACCACATGTCTGTTTACAAAGTCATATAATCTCATTTAATCTTATGCTCTCATCACCGCCTCTCTTTCTCTCTGTGTTGATTTTTCATCTATATTTACATAAAACAATGTTTCTAGATGATGTTCATTTTTCTAACACAAACCACCTCCACCTTTTCTTTTCACTACCCAATTAAGAGGCTACAGTTTCTTCTTTTTTTTTTTTGCTATCAGAAGCACATTTTTATAAATACCTTTCAATTATTATCTGATAGGTTTCTAGGAATAATGCCAAATGCTTTATTCAACCAGACACTCAAATCAATTAAGTTTGTTTTTGGACATTTTACAAATAATCTGAGACTTTTGCTCAGTCACAGAACATCTGAAGAAAGCCTGCTCTTTCACCAGTCACATGAATCATTGTTTTATGTAGAGCTCCTTTCTTAGCCTATGAGTTTTACTTCTTTTCTGTAGAATAAATCTCTGCACCTTGTCTTTGCCAATAATTACAGTATACACAGTTTCTTAGGATATCTGATTGTCTTTTTCTAGATGCCGGTGTGTTCTTACTTCTTGAAGGGCATCTGTAACAACAGCGACTGTCCCTACAGTCATGTCTACGTGTCCCGCAACGCTGAAGTGTGTGAGGACTTTGTTAGAGGCTACTGTCCTGTGGGAGAGAAGGTAAAAACACACACAAGCATATGAAAAACATTTCATCTGAGGGAGCACTTCAGACTGTGCAAACCATATGTCATAGGCTCTTGATGACTGTGTGGGCTGTATATCCAGCTTATTCAACTTGTGCTTCTTTTTCTTTAATTTGAATTTAAACAACCTCAACACGAGAACACATGTCCAGCTTCCCAGTGCATTTCCCATGGCTCACCAATTCTTTTTAAAGATTGTCTTTAAATGGCAGTGGTATAGTTAGCTCAGTGACAGTATCATAGAGCTCTGGATATTGTTATACCTAAAATATAAGTTTCTCTTCCCTCACTGTCAGCTGTACAGAAAAAGATGTACTATTATGAGGCAAGACAAGAAGTAAGGAGAGTAGCTATGATTTACCAGTTCATCAAGTTATAGTTTTACAAATCCGTAGGCTTGTGGCGCTGACTAAAACTGATGCTGGAAAACATAGTTGTGACATATATTTTAATGGCATGTGACCAGCATCAAAACACATTTAAACACTAAACCTGTTTCAGAGTAGAAGTGTCTGATACTGTTTTTTGGAGTATGCCATCAGTTTATACCAAACAAATGTCACAGATAACTTGTGTTTGGAAGTATTCACAGAATCATGTTTGCAACTCGAGATCAAGAGGTTGCACTGAGAAAGCACCACATAATGTAACGTTTCACTTCACACTTTACTCTGCTGGCTTTCTGTTGTGCTCAGCCATGACCACATTGTCTCTCTCTCTGCCAAAACGATACATTTTAGGTATTGGATGTAAGTCCAGTTCTTTGGGCCAACACAGAAATGACCAATGGAAGTTTGTTATGTGGTCATTTTTGTGCTGTTGATAGTGATGTTAGGGAGGAGAAGACTGTTACTTGATGAGGACATAGAGGACAGGAAAGTGGTGTTTGTTGCCTTCTCCATGTTAAACTAATCAGAACTTGTGTTCCTCGAGTTTAGCTAAATCGACGTCCAACCCTGCACAACAGCTTTTCATTGCCACTCTGAGGCACCTACCCTGGAGTAGATTTTACTCCTCTGAAAATGGCCCTGAAAAAGGTTCTACAGAGGGAGATCTTGTGGTTAGAACAGGCACAAAGTTTCAGGCTTGAAAGAGCTCACAAGTTCCTGCAGTGAAGGATGACTTGACATTGCCTTAATATTGCATCAATGTAAAATGTATTCAAATAATAGGACAGTGTAGCATAATAGTAATGTCAGCATTTATACAACAATATTAATACATTTTTGCACATGTGCACGTACAGATGCATGCGTGCATATAGGTAATTCCTTGTACCACAGGCTTTGGCATTTTAATGCTTATTGTGCAGCTACATGTCCTCTGTCTCCTTTCCCTAGAAATGTTTATATTTCTGAGAGCCCATAAAGTTAAACATATTGAAGATTTTTTTTTTTCTTGACATACAGATTGGTGTGTGTTTTTGCATCTGCTTTCCCTCTTGTGCATGACATTACTTGAATATTTTGTATAGACTCCTGTACAGCAGATTCAGGCAGTGTCTGACCAGTGTTAAACCAGGTCTGGACAGAGCTGTGGACACCCCTTATCTGCCTTCACTGTTGTAACTTGTATTACTGAATCAGTCTGAATGGAATAACTAAACCAACAGATGATAATACAATGCACTTAGTATTTTTTAGAACTTATGTTGGTTTGACCTCACTATATTTGGATTTACGTCTTCATTGACACCATAATCTGATTACAAGTTATTTCTTTGAGCTGTGCTCTTCACTTGAATGCACATTATATTGTATAACATGTATACAGTTCCGCTGAAGCTAAACTGAGGCTTAGGTAAACAAGCAGTTTGGTAACCAATTCCCCCCCGCCCGCCTGCCTGCCCTTCACACACACATGTACACAGTGACACACAGGCAGGAACAGCTGCAGGGGGTGGTAGTCCATAATGGCATAACTGTAGTGGCTGAGTGACACATTGAGGGCCTGATGGGTAACAGAGAGCCACCTACACATGACTCAAGACTCTCAAGTCACCCCATGCACATACACTTACTGTCCCCATGTCCACCTCAAACACACCCTCCCTTCTTCCATCCTCCCCCCTCCTGTGTTTTTTTTTAAACCTCCCTTTGTCTCCTACTGCCTCTCCCTCTCCTTTTCTCCCTGCTTGTTTTTGAGTGTTAAGTGTGAAACAGATGCTTTTTCACACTGTCAGACCTCATTTAAATAGTGCATGGGGAAATGAGGATATAGAAAACAAAAGGGATATTAATATTTATTCTATTAGCTGAAGTGCTTAGGTCTGTGATTTTCCCTCGTGTGCGTTTGTGTGTGTTTGTGCCTGAGTGCATATGTCTGTGTGTTTATGGAGTGCTACGCTGTGAGGCTCTGGCGGCTCTATGATGGATAGCAGGCAGTAATTATAGATGGGAAAACTGCTGAGGATGGCACTATGGGCCAGGCAGGCAGACACTCCAGCAGCTCAGGGGTTAAGTCTGCTCCTTGCCTCTATCCTCCTCTCCTCCTCCTCCTCCTCACAAACCCGCTACCATCCTTCCTCATTCAGCCTCATCGTGGCTTTGTCTCACGCTCACCCTCCACCTCGCAGGGCTGTGTATGTTTTCCTAATTGGTCTTCTTATTTCTTTACTCCACTGGATTCATTTTTAGCTGTTTCTAATCATTTCCCTTCCATACAGAAGGGTGACAATTTAAAGTGAAACCTGAACGTTTGACCCCTACATTGAGGGGACTGGGTGTCTGTTATGCTGTGGGGATATTATGCTGCCATCTGCTTGTTCCCTTAAACGGAAGGGTCATTACAATGCAATACAAAGTTGTTCGGAGTGATCACCTTTATGCTGTGATAAAACTTTTCTGTCATGATGGTTCCTTTCTGGATGTCACTGAATGATTTGATGAAAATGATGTGACTTATATGATAAGGTCTTGACAGTCTCCAGAGTTCAACCCAACTGAACAGCTTTGGGACACTTTGGACCAACGTGTTAATCAATGCGCCCACCATCATCAAAACAACAAATGACAGATTATCTTTTGGAAGAATGGTGTTCCAGATATATATAAATAAGGTGTGTCAGAAAAGTGTCAGGACTGGTGTCACAAAAGATATATTTGAAATCCAAACTACAAACTACAACTTTTACCCTTCGAAGTAATCTCCCTGGAGTCTAACCCAACCTAACCCAGAGTTTCAGCCTTCTCTGCCACCATGCCCTCCTGGAAGGATTCTTCCAGGATCCTCTGCAGCTCTGTCGTAACAGTCATCTTGATGTCGTCCACGTCTTCAAAACGGGTCCCCTTGATGACCCCTTGAGGTTGGAGAAGAGGAAAAAAATCACACGGAGCAAGGTGGGGTGAGTAGGGAAGTTGCTCCAGCATGGCAATGTTCTTGATTTTCTGAAGGGGAAAACTCGTAGTTTGGGTTTGAAATATATCTTTTGTGACACCAGTCCTGGAACTTTTCTGACACGTATGATAAAAGGAATCCTTAGTGAAATAAGCAGTTAACACCATGACTGAGCCATTTTAAAAGAGAGAGAGGGAGCCGGCCTTGGCTAGGTGGTAGAGCGGGCTGCCCTCTAATCTCATGGTTGGCAGTTCGATCTCCCACCCCCTTCAGACTTTGATGTGTCACCTTTATGTAGCCCATAAATCAGATCCATCTTTTTTTGTCCCTTAAAACATTAAGTTGACAGTCACCAGGATTCATTTTCTGTCTCTGGCCAACTGTCATCTAAGGTTTTTGGAAAGCTGGCTTTATATGGTGGTGCTTGAAAGTTTCTGACCCTTAATACAGGAATGTAGACAATTCTAAATATGACTCAAAACATAATCAGATTTTCACACAAGTCCCAAAATTAGAAAAAGACTAGATACTACATATTGCTTGCAATGGAATATCAGCAATTGCAATATTGCTGCAACATAGTGCAACAGGGTGGCCATGCTTTTTCTTTTACTCAGCATTTGCACCCCCACTGCATCAACATAGTGCTGTCATTTAAATAAATTAGGAGAATACTAATGTCTATCTGATGACAGCCTGAAGTCTAGTGACACAGTGAACCCCAATTTTCTCAATATTTCCGTCTTGTTATCTTACTAATGTATCAACCTGAGTTCATTTATTGTTCTATTCCACTAAGTTGCTCTCAATGAGTGTTGGCGTAATGCCCAAGTTGTAAATGCATGTGATGTCCCTTTTTTTGTTTTACTGTCTTTTCCATCTTCCACCCTCCCTTCCTCTCTTTTTCTTTCTTGCTTCTTCTGCTCCTTCTCTCAGTCTCTTGGTAAATGTGCTGACTCCTCCTGGTTTTGGCCCAGCAGAGAGCTCTCTAATAGGCCCCAGAGACATCCCAGCATTCCTTAAATCAAGTGGAAAATTGTTAACTTGGTGTGAGATAAAGATGTTCTGTCCACTTTAGCTTTTTTCCTCCCATTTCCCATCTCTCTTTCTCCTCTTTCCCTTTCTCTCTCTCTCTCTCTCTCTCTCTCTCTCTCTTTCTCTCTGTATTTTTATGAAAATTAGGATGTATGGAGCTGTGGGGAGTGAACTGAGCTTTTGCAGTCAATTTCTCCAGCACTCTCTGTTTCTCTCACTGGTTAAGTTCTTGACCCATCACAGTCCTCTCCAGATGAGTGCTCAGTCCTCCTGGGACTGATGGTTATGCGACAGTTACATTTTTAATTTGGCTGTCAGTAGGGTGGGAACAGATGCTGGGAGACACTGTGTGTGACAAATAAGCATGATGATCCTTTATCACTAACAGGGGTTTACCAGTTATCAGCTTGGGTGATAATCAGATCGGATATTCACCATTTTTCTGATAGTGAAACTATTGTTTTTGTGGGTTCTTGTTTTTGATTTGTTTTTTTTACAATTCCCAATAAAATCAATAGTTTGAAAATACTACTACAAATACTACTACTTTGGCTCTGATGCCATTCACAGCACTAGCTGACTGGTCACTGTTGCGGCAGTATG